GTTGATTTCCTTACTGCTTAAGTTTTTTTGTATACTATGGTCTTTAGAGAGAAACTTCAAGAAAATTCCTCATTAGAACGATATAAATATATTTATCACCATATAGGTTTAAATTATCTAATATAATTACTGAATGAACTACTAAATGAATTACTGAATTTCTTGATGGTTTCTAGATTTTATAAAGTTAATATTGATAATATTTTCAGGATCTTTTTTACAAGGATCCTGTAAATTACGCCTTTCTATTTCAATCGTACGTTCATTTGACTAGACTGCAGTTACATACTATGAGTATACCATCGCCCTATAAAGTTATGGAAAGATCTATATTTAGTGCAAAATGTTTTTTGGAAAATATGAAACGTACTCATATGATAAAGGATGTGGAAACGATAGTTTTAGAAAAGTGGTATGATTGGTGTTTAGAAAACACAAAAATAAGATCAGATTTGATAAGTATGTACATTTATCAATTTTAAGCAAAAAGATTTTTATATATGTAGTTTCCTTTCTGTTGAATGATACATATTTTTGTTTTACTTGATTTAGTATATCTAAGGACAACGCCTGAAATTGTATTTCAAAGAATGCAAGCACGTGCGCGTAAAGAAGAGGACTCTGTGCCATTAGAATATCTGAAACAAATACACGAAATCCACGAGGATTGGCTGTATAGACAAACTTTATTTTCATTACCAGCACCAGTTATGATTATAGACGGCGACAAAAGTCTCGAGGAGATGGTGCCGCAATTCGAAAAATGTAAAGACCGAATACTTAACGGACAAACTGATGGCACAAATAGAATAATTATAGATACTAAAGTATAACATAGGCCGATATTTGAATATTATATTCAAAAATGACTTAATTATAGGTAATTTCCATAGCAATATACTTTGCAATTCTTTGCATACTGCTATTTTGTAAAATTGATAATAAAAATTCTTTCAAGGTTTAATAACTACCATTCTCGACTTACCTTCAGAGACTGAAATGATGCTATGTTCCGGGAAGGTAGGCTGATTGTCGTTGACATCGATTACCCGCACGCTCAATGCAGCCGTGCCGGTTAACTGCGGGTTTCCTTGATCAGTCGCGATGATGGTCAGCCTGTACTTCTCGCGAATCTCACGATCTAGGACTATGTTGGTTCGTACTATTCCACTGTATGGTGGACTTATGGTGAAGGCATTATCTGGATTACCATCCACGATATGATATAAGATTCTACTGTTTAATCCTTGATCAGCATCACTTGCTGAAAGCTACGGCAGCAAACATTGAAATATAATATTATATACATTCAAACATACATATATTTTTTTATATCATTAAATATCAATATCGTAATTTGTATCGTAGTTCATATTTTACCTTTATTTTTATATCAAGATTTATTAATATAAGACAGACAATAAATATTCGCACATTTTAATACTGTAATTATATATATCGTATTTCTTTTCAACCTTTCCTTTTTCTTTAAGAAATAATTGATGTGAATAAATTTTTATATCATATACTTTATACCTTGATTTTCTTGTAACCAGGCTATGTAATGTATCGAATATAAAGGATTATTTCGAAAGTTTTCTCACCTTCACAACGAAATCTCCCTTGGTATTGCCTTCGAGTACGATAGCCGAGTACTGCATTTGCGTGAAAATGGGCGGATTATCATTGATATCAGATATCCTGATGATTACTTTGACATACGCCTCCAAGACTTCCTGTCCCGTCGTCCTCGCCACTACATTGAGAATGTGTCTCGAGCTTTCTCTAGGCTCCTCTTTAGATTGCTGATTCTCCAGGGATCTACCCCACGAGTTAGTACGCGCTGTATCATTCGGCAGCTCATTGTCAGGTTTTACTGTTAAATCGTTCCACAGTTCTGCGTCCAGCCTGGTAGGGTCGTTAACGCGCAATAGACCAGAATCTACGTCGATCGCAAAAGTGTCATAGTCGTTTCCCGATGCGATTGAGTAGGTGACACGTTGTCTCCTGCCATCGGTACGCACTGCGGTGATCTTAACGATCTCCGTGCCAGCCGCTGAATTTTCCTGGACTACGACATTATACGTGTCATTCTGAAACTTCAGGCCGGGTGTCATATCCGCGAGATCGCCGACCTGAAGTTCGATCAAACCTTTGGCGCTCTTCGGTGGATTACCCTTGTCCTGAGCCAATACTTTCAGGTGATACGTCCTACCATTGTCCTGCGACAACGACAGACTCGCCGTTACTTCACCGGTGCTGGGATGTATCCGAAACTTCGGTTTCTCTTGCTCGTTTATCAACGAATACACGATATCACCATTAGCACCGTCGTCAGCGTCTTTGGCCGATATCCGGAGGATATTTTGACCCGGTTGCGTGCCAACGGGCACGCGTGTCCGAAAGGGATACTCTTCGAAAATTGGCGCGTTATCATTCACATCGCTGATATTAATCTCGACAGGTATCGATGTGCTTTTTGCGTCGTATTTGCCGCTATCTGTGGCAACCACGAGGAAGGTATAGTTGCTTTGGCGTTCACGGTCCAGTGGGCTGTATCGAGCAGAAAGAAACGGAAATTAGTTATAGAATAGTTGGTTCATTGTCAGATCACGGAATTGAAAAATAAAGAAAATAATTGAATAAAAAGAGACATAACGTAATTTATTTTTCCTTTTAGAGCTTTAATAGATCTTATCTATAGAATTCTTATTTATAAAGAATTTATTAAATTAGTATCGTAGTTCGTTATTTATTACTGAAAGCTAACAATAATTGTTATTTTGTTGTGTATGGAAGGAAATATTTCTTTCGTTAATTGGAAGCAGTGATTGGGGAGAATTCTTCAGAGGTTTAGGCATCTCGCACGATATGGTATCTTAAAACAATGCTGTTATGAAGTTACGCAAACGCAAATCGAACAAGCGAGAGAAGTTCCCAGCATGCCTTTGCGATACAACGCTCACAATAATTCTTAATAAGCGTGGGATAATGATCGGACCCCAGTAATGCACGAGCTCGATACGCTTATTTACGATTGCGCGAAGCTAACTCGAATACTCCACAGTTATCTTCCACCCCGGTATCCGTCGTGTCTGTCGAGTACAACTCGGAATACGCAGTATGAGTCTTTGTATCTGAGACGACGACGATCTCGCTAGTAGAAACGACAGTTGCAAGGACTGTCTTATCTGATAACAATTCTTTCAAAAATGAAGAGAGATGTCCCCAAGCAAAATCCAAAAACGGGACATGAGACGTCCTAAAATTTTTGTGAGAAATGTCCAAAAGACATCTTAAAGATCCCAATTTTGGACTTCATATTGTCTGAGTCCTGATTGCACTATTAATTAATAAATAAATCAAGTACATATAGACTAATTCTCATTTTTTGATCCGTGTTTTGTGTCTATTGGATAGTTTTTAGTGGAGCAAAAAATAAAAAGAGGAAAATATCCCGTATCCTCATTTATGTGAAGAGGCGCCCTAGAACGGCGACCGGGCTTCCAAAAGATAAAAGGAGCGAGATCGTCGTCGTAATGGCGACATGAAAGCCAAGTCTGCCGTTACTGATCGAGAAAAGAGGATATCAAAAACAGAAGCAAAAGAGAGAAACACAGAAAAAGAAGAAGGAGAAGAGACGGCGAAACGAGCCGACTGGAAAGGGGCCACGGCGGGAAAGGGTGAAGAGAGAAAGAGACGATGAAAGTAGAAGAGACACCGGCGAAAGAGCAGCTCGAACCGAGATCTGGTTTTGCATATCAGGAGGCATTTTGCCGGCTGAAA